CTATCTAGCTATCGAGCTATAACCAATACAGCATCTCCAGCGCGCCACCGCTATACTCGAGCTATAGCTAACCGCGTGATAACACCCTTCTCATGTTTAGCGTGTGCTAAACGATGTGCTCCAATGGAGTTGCAGCTATAGCTATCGCTATGGCTGTGGATTGACTGACAGTGGGAACAGGCCGCTACGGGCGGGAGCGAAAAACGCAGCGCGCGGAAGAGAAGGCTTGGCGCATGAATGAGAGAAGCGCAGGCCGCTTGGAGGGGCGTGGATGGAAGGTTGCGGACTGTAAGCGCAGGCAGGAGAAGCGCGAGCGCTAGGAGTACCTGAACTACAGTTTAAGGCACAGTGTATGCGCGCCACCAGTCATTTACCTGCGAGTCGCTCCTCCGTCACCGAGAACTCGGGTCTTTAGCAAATGTGTAATATTTGCAAGCCCAATCACGGTCTGATTGATACTCTTTCTTGATAATTGATCGAATATAATGATGGCTGCGTATGAAACGCAGTCTTATGCTTGAGTCGTGTAGGAAATAAAGATAATATTATACTCAAAGTAGCTTGTACTTACAAATCGACATGTTTCAGTGCAAAAATTATCGCCTTGCGCGTCTGCTATCTGCTTAGACAAAAACATGCGCCGCCGGGGAATTGAACCCCGACCCCATCTTTGGAAGAGATGGATCCTAACCATTAGACCAACGGCGCCTCACGACGTTTTTACTCGTATGCATTAATCGTAGATAAGCCGGATTGCTGTACCCTGGAGATACCACCTAGTTATTTGCAACGGTTTACCGGTAGTGATAAAAGAATAAATACGCATGTTGGAAGATGCGTACTACGTGCCCATGCTGTTCAGCCCCACAGCAGTCTTAACTGGAATGCAACGTTTCGTTATTTTCTTGTACTCACGTAACAACTTTCCGTCACATTCGGACACTATTCCGTGGGGACGCATCGATTTATGAATCCGACGTGCCTGCGTTCCAATCGAGTGAGCAAGAACCAAAACGAAACAAAACAATGCGTCTTTGTAGACATGCCTCACATGCAGCCTCACATGTCCGAATACCGGCACAGAAGAGTTGGCGCCAGTAACTGGGTCGTTGGGAGGTGTACTACGTACGAAGTGAAAGCGAGTTTTCAACGCAAGTCTAATGCTACCGATTGTACTGTTCAAAGAACAAAATAGACTCGCGCATGTGCGCTCGCGAAATTGCAAGGTGGCGACGCTGCTACGTTACGCAGCCATGTCGTCACTCAGTATGTCTAGTTTCAAGTGATGTTAACCAAAAAAGAAAGTTGTCAGCGGCGGGATTTGAACCCGCGAGTGCGAACACACTAGAACTTGAGTCTAGCACCTTGGACCGCTCGGTCACACTGACATCTCTATACTATAATACTCTGTGTAACAAATACATGGAGAGTTAATTTGCATTTCTGCCATTTCGTGATTCGCTTTCAATGCCAAAATCGTTTCATGACATTCATATTAACTGCTATTATTCCATAGTAGCCCCATGTATTCCATCAGCGGGCTTCTATTGACATTTAATCGTCATTTCGTGCCTCATTTGTTTTCTATATTCAAAATACTAATATTAATATGTGTATAGCCATTTAGTGATTTATATTTCATTTACTCTCGAGCACCAAGGGCATCAATACCCG